AAACACTTTGATATTACTGTGCTTAACATTTCATTTGGACCTAACTTTTTCCATAAATTTTAAATATTACTCAAATTTTTACATTTGAATAAAAAATGGTCTCAACATGCATAAAGGTAGAAATTAAGGCAAATATTTAATTTTTAATATTTTTTGATGATTTAAAATTGGTGGAGTTATTATTATTTTTTAAATAATTAATATCACATTTTTTTTAAATATAATTACTTATTATATTTTACATTACATTTTTTCTGAACCTCCTACACAATTTAAACCACTTACATATTAAACATTATATGATTTTGAATCTCTAATTTTTAATATTAAAAAATCATCACATGTTCACTTAAGATATTGCTAATTTTAATAGTTGGAAATAAACTTATAACTACAATTAAAAGAAGCAATAACACCCTTAAAAGAAATATTTTAAATAGTTAATAATTTTAAATTTAAATTTAATTATAAATTAAAAATCTTAAATTTAAATTTTGAGATAAATGAGGATGTAAGATTATTAAAATATCAATGAATTTTCATATTTGATCTTTCAAAAATAATAAGTTTTAAAAGGTTGAAATTCTCGTCTTAAATTCTCGTTTTAAACTTATATATAAATAATTTCATAATTTTACTTTTAACTTACCTTTTTTTACCTTTTTTTATAATTTAATAAAATCTCTTATCAAATAAATCTAAATATTAAGATTTAGAAGTAAATTATTAGATTCGGATTTTTTTAATTCTTTGAAAGCGTTCTATTTTTTGCCGTATGAAAGTCTATTATCCCTTTTTCTTATCATATTCCCATAAAACCCATTTATCATTCATCACACACGCGGGAGCTGTCTCCGGCCGTCCTGCGTGCGTAGTTTGAAGAAATGGCGATCTCCGGTCATCTAGGAAGAAGACAACAACAGCAACAGCTGCATCAGAGGTTTCCAGGGCGCGCCCCTCGATTTCCGATTAGATTTTCTTCTTCTTCCTATAGAAAGCTTCGTTTCATCCTAATTTCTCTCGCATTCGTCGCTCTTCTCCCTCCCTTCTTCTTCCACTTCAGACTCCGCCGTTTTCATCAGGTAAACTCTTCCTTTGTTGTATACCTCTCGTTCTCTATCCATGCAATTTTAGCTGTTCGAGTCATTAGAACCCATTAATGCTATTTTGTTTAATTATCTTTCTTAACTTTGATATGTGTGCTTATGTTCATAGATTCAGAAAAGGTTTCCTTTTTATGGAAATTCCTGATAGAGATGTGATGTGATCTGCATGTTTTCTTGATACATATTGGGGTTTAGGTTAATGGTACAGATCGTCAATAAGCTGTCTGGATCTTTTAAATTATGGGTTCCTAGGATTATTATATTAATGAATTATAATTTAGTCCCTGAATTAATGGGAGTTGCTTTTGACTGCGTTTTTTATGCAGCTAATTTTATTTTCAGATGTTGGATATTGAATTTAAGATGGGATGAATGTAGAATTTGCCCATTTTATTAATATGTCATAAAAGATCAAATCTTTGGACATCATCAGCTTAAAGATATTCCTTGAAGTATTTTTCATCAGTTATTGTGATTTAAATCTTTCAGTGTCTGTAATAATTTCAAAAATTAAGTATTAGTTCTTCGTTTTCTGTAATAATGTCTCTCATGTTATGATCAATGTTATATTTATGGAGCTTTTCAATATAAATAAAAAATTATAACATGCAATTTTCTTTGAAATGAGGTCTATGTTTTCCATTTCTGGAGATAATTCAGTCATGCTTAAGATAGCAATTAAAATGCTTGCTAGTTTGAGAGGTGTCTCTGGTAAACGAAGGAATCATTTTTTTTGGACCATGGTGCCCCTTTATTTACTATGGTATTTGTGGGGTGAGAGACATTGTAGAGCATTTGAAGGAGTAGAGCCTTCTATTATTGACTTGAAGGCTAAGGTTACAGTAATTTCATTAACTTCTTCTTCTTCTTCTTCTTCTTCCTTCTTTTTGTGTGTGTACGTGTGTGTGTGTGTTTGATCAGCTCATTAACTTGTTCCTTTGATTTCTGCTTTTGCTAACTTTTCTTGATAATTTTGCTTGTCTTCATTTTATGATCATATTTTGACATAATTTTAACTGTTTCTTCTCACTTTTCTCATTGATTTTCTATTTGTTATTTATATGGGATTTGATTCTCAGAATGATACCAGGTTTCATTGTGTTTGTAATTTGACATTCTTTATTGCAGATGAAAGTTGCCACCTAATATTATTCTGAATTTTCATTATTTTTCCAGGCGCAATTGAGAAGGTGTAGTTGGCTGAAAAGCCCTCCTCTTGTGTGTGCTCATGGTGGTGACTCTACTAATGCGTTCCCGAATACAGTAAGTTTCCACTGCTATTTACTGTATTGCTTTTGCTAGTTTTATTTGATTCCTTTCTGAATATAGTAGGCATCAGTTGCTATTTGTCCAAGTTTTGATCTTGTGCCCATGAATTGAATTCTGGCAAGCTCAAAAAGCTCAGGTTCAATCTGCCCAAGTTGCAAACTGATTAAGTAGTTTTCCCTTTTTTTTTTCTCTTGTTCAAAGCTTATTGAGTAGTGTATTCGGACTAATTGGCATTCCTTTTTGTTTTTAAGTGAGATCCATTGTCAAGAGACATGGTATAGTCTTTTTTGCCAAACCAGTTGGGTTGGACTTTGCAGAACTAATCTTTTTTGCACATATGAAAATCAGATACATTTCATGTGTGTTTTCCTCTTTATTTAAAACAGATGGCAGCATATCGTTTTGCTATTCGTTCTCAAGTAGACTGCATTGAGATTGATGTTTCTCGTTCTTCAGATGGAGTTTTGTTTGCTCTGCATGATAGGTATCTTTGCCCTCTGGTAAAAAAAAGAAAAAAAGAAAAAAAAAAAAGATGTACAACAGTTTACTATTTTTTTTTTTTTTGGGTAGAATAGTTCTATTCTGGATAGAACTTTTTCATGCCATGGTAGAAGCTCTTTTCTACTCTTTCTCTCTCTCTCTCTCTCTCTTTTCTAAAAAATAAATTGTTGAGATCATAGGATCATTTTCCAGCTGTTTGCAGAATTAATTTTTACATTACACAGGCAGGGATTTGCAGCGGATATCTGGTAACAGCACATCTAAAGTTGGGTACCTGAGCATGAAAGAGGTGAATATGCTGATTTGAGTTACTTCCTTCTCTGTTCTATTAAGCATATTCTAAAAATCAATATTTATCCAGTCAATACATCAAAAACTGGAACTTAACCATTCATTCTATGTTAGAGTCACTTGTTTAAACATGAAAGAACAAATATGAGATGGCCATTAAGACATGTATAGGAAACAATCTTAGATAATGTTGATTGAGATTATATGTTCTTTTTCTATTGTAGATAAAAGAACTGGATGCCTCCTATCAGTCTAACGATCCCAAGATTACCACTATTGAAGATGCATTGACGGTATGTCCAGGGTAGAGTTTATTCTTTGTGCTGTTTTCCCATTGTTCATTACTTATACTGAAGGTTGGTAATAAATTCTCTGATTGTATGGTTTGTCTGGATGTTTAGTTGATATCAGGTTCAGTTCGGCAGGTGATCCTAGATGCAAAGGTTGGACCTCCATCATATGAAAAGGGCCTTGCAAAGGATATTCTTTCTGTTGTGAGTTTTTGTTTGCTCTCCCTTCCCCTTTGTCTCTATTTCTTTTAGATTTTACTCTGAGAATGTGCTTGTAATTAGTGATACAGCACAAATTTCATTTTTCGTTTTTCTTTCCCACTTTTTATCTTAAATTACAAAGTTGTCAATTTTCTGTTGTTCTCATTGAGTCACTATGATATTATATAACTTGAGGCTGAAACTGTAGTGATTCACTGTAACAAAAGAAATCTATTTTTTAATTAAAAAAAAAAAAGTGGAAAACCAATCCTCTTTATGATGAAAAATACAAGATAACCCAGATAACCCAGATTACCCTTGAGACAGTCAGACCAGCATTATCGAACCTTCTATTTTGCTTGGTCATTCTCAAGTTGCATGACTTGATTGCTTGAATTATTCTTTTTTGTGCATAATTCCAAGTTTAATATATTTACTAATTTCAGTTCACTAAAAACATTTTTCAGGTTAAGAGGACACAGTGTAAAAATTGCCTGGTATGGGCTAAAAGTGATAATCTAGCTAGGGATGTAATCAAACTATCATCAGATGTTATGGTAAGCAGTTTTACTCTTGCAGCTTTATTTGTGTAAATGTTTAGTGGATTAGAATGTGATTGCTCTAAATTTATGAATGAATATTATGATTATTTGTCACACTTAAATCAATATAGGTTCATCTTGAGTCTTTTAACCAAGTTTTCATGTCTCCTTCACAAAGTTAAATGTATTAACGGGGCTAGATGTTGTGGCCTTGACCTCAAAATTCTTTAATACCTTATATGTTCAACCAGAACCGCACTTGGTGATTTATGCTTCACCTTACCTAAGTGTTCTGTTGGTGTTTTGGAATACTTGTAGGTTGGCTACATAGTCATGATGGATCCCTTTACCGGGGTTAGAACCAACTTGTTGAGGATGAAAGGTGCTCAGGTGGTTGGGGTGCACCATCCACTGATCGATGAAAAGCTCATGAGAATCCTGCGTAGGTATGAAATTCATACCAATCCATTAAGTGCATGGATTGGACACAGTTCAACTGATGATATATTCACAAACAATTAATACTCAACTTATGCTTTTCAACAGGAGAAACAAAAAGGTATATGCATGGACTGTGGATGACACTGATTCCATGGTAAGAATGCTGCAAGAGCATGTAGATGCCATTGTTACTAGCAACCCAAATTTACTTCGTCAGATCATGCAAGACACCAGAACACAATGTCTCGAAGAGGGTTATTCTTTAACCCAATAACCATTGTCTTGCTTTATGAGTACTTGGCATTTCCTATGGCTATCGTAAGATGTGTATGTCATCAACTTTTGCTTCATTTGATGTCAAAATGAATCAGCACAGATTTTGTGTTGATAGATTACAATGATTCATGATCAGCTTACATAAGTATGATGAATTAAGGTTAACACTCCATTTTGGTCCCTCTATTTTAAAATAAAAAGTTTGTTTTTAGTCCCTCTACTTGAAAAAATCCCTTTTTAATCTTTAAAGTTTATTTACCTGGCTCTTTTTTAGTCCTTTCATTATCTTTTTGTGCATATAACACAAAAATTTCAAAATAAAGAGATTAAAAAGAGGTTTTTATTTTTTATTTTTTATAAGTAAATAGACTATAAGGCTATGTTTGGTATAGCTAGTAGGAAGTTTTTTTAGATTTCAAAAACTCTAATTGTACCAATCATTACAATTTATGAAAAATACTATAACTTCTCATAAGTTAGTCTTTTGTTTAGTTCATTGCAAATCTCAAAAACATCGAATTGGTGCTTCTGCAAGAGTTTTTTATTTGGGTTTTAATAAAATTAACACATTATTTTTATTTTATTCTTATTTTTCTTTTTATTTATAAAAATAACACTTTTACAATAATTTCTTTTCAACAAAACTTCTATTAAAAACTTCAATCACACTAAACGGACACTAAAAATGGTTTTTTTTCCTTTTTAATTTCTTTATTTTAAAATTTTTATAGTTTAATGTGTCATTTGTGTAAAAATAATAATAAAAAATAAAAAAGGTAAGATAATAAATTTTAAGAATTAAAAAAGGGTTTTATTAAATAAATGAATAAAAAAAGATCTATTGGTTAAAATCAAGGGACCAAAATAAAATTCTAATAAAAAAATTAGTAAGTGTTGTCTTGTGGTAAAGAGATTTAAGCCTTGGGAGTGGCTACGACCATGTAAAAGAACTCATGCAATAAGACTGCTAGTAAAGTAGTTAATCTTAACAGACTTCTCAATGGGGTGACTTTATGTAATTGGTCCTAATTTTACCCGTAAACTGAACCGAAACAGCTCGGTGATTGGTTCATGTTCCAGATCCAGATCCAACTGCCTCTATGTACTTTAGAAATTAATTGATTGGGTAACTACTTGGGGACAGCTGAACTTGATTTACTTTCAGATCGATCACCCTCTTACCAAATTTTAAATATTTGGTCAAATCAAATCGTAAACCTCAAAATTCCGTTTTAGTTGCCACTGATA